AAATGCTCACCTAATCACAAGGAGGAATATACCTACATAGAGTATGTATACGTCAATGATAACTGTGTAACATATTTGACATAAAATTAGAGCCAATGACTCTACTTGACCCGTACAGAATGATGTCACTAGATGTCGCCAACACAGATCGAAACAGGCTGCACGCGCCTTACATAAATTGACACCACAAACATTTACACTTTAATTAAACACAGCAGTTAACTGATAACATGAGAAAAACTTACGACCAACCTATAACAGCTCCCATATATTTTCTTTACGATCACAGGTTTGCCAAGTATATGTACAATATAAATACGATTTCGAACGTCACTCGAAGAGTATTCGAAGAGTAGTACAGCTATGGTGTTCAATAACGAAAGCAACCCACCTGCAAAACGTGGAATGTGACCCGTCGAGTGTAAAAAGAAGATTCGAACCAAGATCCCTGACTTAGTTCGGCGGTTCGAACGTAGAGCTGAGCAGTTCGCTCAGCATCATTTCGTCAGACGCGCGCTCCGTGAAGGCATCGATGGCGGACGCTTCGCCGCAGTCCTTCCGCTCGACTTCACTGTGCGGCGCGGCGGCCAACACTCCACTCTTGACCGCGCGACTGCGGCCGCACCTCACGGATTGCTGGATGTTACTTGAGCTGCGATAATGCAACAGTTCCTGCAGGGTCAGCCGCTCCTTCGCGGCCACGTCCTTGCTCTGCGGCGGCAGCGGCGGACTCCCCGTCCTGCCGCGATCGAGGCTCGGCCAGGGCGACCCGGAACCAACGTTCGTGGCGCCGCCGCCGCCGCGCTTCGTCCGCCGCGGCCGATTCGCGTGCTTGCCCCGCTGGTCCTCGATCGGCAACCCGGCGGCCTTCTTGCGGTAGAGCGCCTGCAGGCGCACGCGCGAGATGCCGAGCGCGTCGCACACGGTGCCCATGCATACGCGCACGCGCTCGCCGACGCTGTTCCACAGGTAGTAGAGCGGCGTGCGCTGGCGCCGGCTCGCCGCTGCCTCGCGGTACAGCGCCCCCTTGCGGTAGCGGCGTTTGACGTCGCGCACGTCGACGAGTGCAGCGATCATCGCCTGCTGCTCGTTGTACGTCTTCGAGTGAAACTCGTTGAAGAGCGCCGCCTTCTGCGCGAGCGGCACCTCACAGCACTGCAGGTTGTTGCACTTGCACACCTTCTGCAAGAGCCGAGAGAAATGGCGTTTTTTTCCGTCGTAGAATATGAACGGCGTAAGTGGGTTGAAAAGCGCAGCGAAAGCGGATCGAGCGAACACCCTCTGTAAAAGGGTGACACGAAGCGTTGCCATGCACTGGATAATGAGCGGCACGGAAAGACGGAAGAAGATGCAAAAGTGTACTAAGATACAGTGACTGGTTAGCTGTGGCAGGCGGGGGGGGGGGCATACAACTACCGCTCGATTACGCATTGTCGAGGGGCGCGCAAATCGGTGAGAATGCTACTTCTCTATCAGAAATGCGAAAAGACTGAATAAGCTGAAAACCACACGAGAGAAGTGAATATTTTGCATCAAGTTCTAAACGTGCCCAAAACGAATGTATTTGCAGCCATGTGCTTCTCGTGGGAAACCATGGATGGTGAAAAATTGCTTGTGGTGTTATCACCGAGCTTGAATATTTTGTACACGCTCAGGTATATATCCAAGATATGCGCATGAAACGGCAGTTTTATCAGGCAAGCTGAACTGCCGTGCAAATGTCAGCCGTGACTCACCTCAGCTGATGGTGGTTTAACAGCTGGTACCAACACTCCTCTGCTGTTCTCATATGCTTCCCCTCTGGCTTTTCTCAACTTTGATATGTTGCGTTTCCAGGTTTCAGGCTTGCGCTCCCTCTTCTTTGCCTTTGGCTCGTTTTTCTGTTTTACTTCGCGTCTTCGCCGTGGTTTGAAGATTTCGTTCTTCTCAATCATTGGCTAGTAAATGATTGTTGGGGGAAAAATGGATTGCATTAATAATAAGACTTCTTTGACACCAGTGCCTAGTAAGACAGTACAAGTAACAATTTAATTTATGACCCTGTATTGCTAGAGCATCAAAAAAGAAACTAAATCACAAGGTGATTATTTCAGTGTGGTTACAATGTAAAGCCTATAATGCAATTTTAAAATAGTGATATCGAAAAGCATCTAGATTTTCTCTGTGAATTATTGCATTTTTGCAAATAGAAGTACCTTTAGTTCTTCATGAGCGGAGAGGTTTGCTATGTGTGAATCGCACTGCGAGGTTGCATATATCTCCACGCCTGCGAGGCTACCGATGCTCATGTTCAGCGGTGCAGAGGTCACGTAGCCGGTCACGCTCGGCCTCTGCACCGCGCCAAATGCCGGCTGGCCACCAACCGACGCGTACACGGGGAACGCAGCCTGGTCGACGTTGAACAGCTTCAGGTGCTGGTTCACCGGTGCCTGCAGCTCACCGTGTGCGGCGGCGTTCTGCTGGTAGTGACTACTCCACGGCGCAGCCTCGGGTGCGGGCGTGAAGCCCTGGTGGGCGCCGTACAGGGCGGGCACGCGCTGCGGGAAATGCACGCCCGCTAACGCGTCACCGCCGCTGTAGTGCCACGCCGCGTCGCCGCTCTGCAGGTAGTGCCGGGCGTGGTGGTTCCCGGCTGTCGCAGGGAGCCTCCGCGAGCACTCGCCAACCTCCTGCGACACGAAGCCGCTGCCGTCGGCCGCTGTTACGCCGTGGCGGCCGGGAAGCGCGTATCCCTGCACGAGGCCAGCTGCCGGCGGCGCACCGTGCGCCGTCCTGCCGCAGTCGCCGCGCGGCCCGAACGTCGTGTTGAGCAGCTCCTTCAGCGTCATCGCTCCGTCCGTCTCCCCGAGCGACGTGCCGACCGCCTCGATCTCTCTCTCGCCGCAGGCACCCGACACCGGCTCGACGGCGGCGGGGCGCGCGCGCTTCATCCGCGGCTTTGCGCCGCGCAGCCCCCGCGTCGGCCGATTCGCGTGCTTGCCCCGCTGGTCCTCGATCGGCAGCCCAGCGGCCTTCTTGCGGTAGAGCGCCTGCAGGCGCACGCGCGAGATGCCGAGCGCGTCGCACACGGTGCCCTGGCAGACGCGCACGCGCCCGCGTGCGCCGTCGCGCAGGTAGTACCACGGCGTGCGCTGGCGGCGGCTCACGGCGGACTCGCGCGCGCGCCCGCCGCGGCCGCGGTAGTGCCGCCGCACGTCGTGCACCTCGACGAGCTCGCTGATCATCGCCTGCTGCTCGTTGTACGGCTTCGAGTGCAGCTCGCGGAACAGCGACGCCTTCTGCTCGGCCGTGACGTCGGCGCACTGGAACGTGCAGCGGCAGATGCGCTGCAACAAAGCGATTGCTTTGTTCTGAGTGACTTTTTTGCCGAGTTCTACAGGTTTTCGGTTCGCACGCACTGTTACAACCGATTTTAGTGTAGGTGGTTAGGTCGTCGCTTAAAGGTGATTCATTGTAGAGAACATTTTGTGCATGTAAAGAAGGCTTTTAGATGAGTAATTAATGGGAATGATTTTACTTTGTCTGCCACTTGGTAGTTGCTTGAAAGCATTTCATTTCAGAAAATATTTCACGACTGTGGAGCCAGCTTTTGGGTTAGAAATTAAAGAGAGATCGTTTTTAAAGGACGGTGCACTAGCACTCTATGGTACTCCTGACGTGTCTGTGATGTTATGAGGTGGCACTGGCTGACCTCCCTGTAGACCCACACTTTACCTGATTATCCTAAAGATGTACCGGTGTGCTCTACTCTTAAAACACTGAATGCATGGGAATAACAAAATGTGATAGACGTATAGAAGACAGGCAAAAACGTATGTTGGGAGCTCTGCCCTGGTTACCTCAGGTGATGGGGGTTTGATAGCTGGCACTAGAACACCCCTTGTGTTGATATATGCTTCTCCTTTTGCCCGTTTGATCTTTCTTGAATTCTTCTTCCATGTCTCTGGCTTACGCTGCCTTCGTTTAGGCTCCTTCTTTCCTTGTTTGCTATCATCTACTAAACGATCCTGCAATATTTCACAGTGATCTTGCACACAATATGGACAGAATATTAATTCAATATTTTACGTACATTATGTACACCTTGGTTCAACAACAGTTAAGCAACCAGAAACATAATCAAGATGCTTGGGTTAACGTGGCTGCTTCTCGCAGCAAAATGCAAAGAGCACTGTGCAAGCCTATTGTGAGCTCGTTAATGTTGTAAAAATCCAGGACAACTCATTTGTATTGCTACTTTTATAACATTTCTTCAGCAAATCTAAACAGTCTTACGAAAGTAGTACCACAGCAAATTCCCTCGAACTTATGCTGTGCCATTGCGCATGTGCGGTGCTGGAAGTGAATGTTTACACATCCTGGACACAGCCGAGCCATCACAATTTTCATTAACTGTTTTTTTCTATGATAAAACAAGTTATAATTTATTATTCGATGTTTGTTCAGTACAAAATTGTGAAATTTGTTCAAATCATATGTTAACTACATTACTTATGCAATCAGCAAACATATATAGTTTTCTTTCCAGGAACTATTTGCGCTAGGGTAGGCCTACTGTTAGTGCTCTCAGCCGCTTCGCTTCGCACAATTTATGTGTATCTATTTGCCAAAACTTTCTCTAAGAAAGTTTTTAAAATGCTCTACTTCAGAGCACATTTCTGGCTCAATGAGAACATTTTGTGATGTTGTCAAGAGTCAATCAATTTTTGTTAGAATTGTAGGAATCTGATGCTGTCATACTGCAAGTATGCTCACAGTAGTTGTATTTATGCATTTTGTTGCGAGAACCAGACGCTTAAAAACAGGACAATGTCGATGACTAATCCAAACATGGCACAAGGACTTTTTGCAAAAAATAACACCTCTATAGCTCATATAGGACTTATTTAGTCATAATGATAGCCTTTGCCATATTAGTTATGTCACATGACATTGCACAGACAGTATTTAATACTGTAAAATAACTTAGTAAACTGTTCCAGCTTCCCAGGCCTAAAATACTATACCTGGTTAAAGTAATTATTACGAGTTTTCCAGTGTTTTCACCACTTTCGTGATACCTACCATTATTGCTTGAGTAACAGCAATTGTCTAGAGTAACAATCAAATGTCTGAGAACCTTCGTATTCACCAAAACATGCAATTTTCGAACTACGTGTAGTTTGGTAAACAATCGTTTGCTGTAATCTTGAAACTAGAGCCGGCAGGCTTGGACTAGCTAGTAGCGCCGCCGCCTATCTCCCATAGACATACAGTCTCTCTCAAATGCAGTTGTTTTCAATTAATAACCGACAATTTACAAGTTTACCAATTCTGCCATTATCGTGACACGATAAAATAGACACGAGACTATATTTCGCTATATTTTTTTGGGGTTGAGGGTTTCTGAGCAAAACTGTCGTAATAATAACTTTAAGCGAACCTAATATAATACAATGCTAATTTTAGCAGCTTTACATGCCACAGGGCGTCGGTACAGCAGAAAAACTTATTCAAACAATATGTACCTGTGGCTGATTTTCCTGGCCAATGCCTCCAGGTCCAGGATTCCTCTCGATGTCACCAGCAAGAAGAAGCAATGACTCTGACATTGCGCCAATAAAATGTTGGTCACTCACACTGGTACATACAGTTGCAACGATTAAAATGGTCACTGTTTTTTACTCCAACATGGCCACCGACCTGAAATGTAAACAATTTCACAAGATATATTTTATGGGATAGTAATGCATGAATAATAAAAATTGTAAAAAAAACATGCCAAAGTGTAAAGCACCATATATGACTATATATCGAAGACGGAGGAAGACAAAGCTGATCAGGTAGGCACTAAGGTAGCTCTAGAAGTTTAACTACAGCCCTTTGGTATAGCTAATACGAACCCACTGGTTCTAAACAATCATTGGCTCCGTAACATTAACTGCGTGAAAATGGTGTTGTGCATACGTAAAACACGAGTGTGTGCGCTGCAGACAGCGGTAAAGCATCGGTAGCAAGTCGATCTTACAACATTGATTTCATCATCAAAATGCCTATAAAAAAACATATCTGCATACCTTATTCACTCCCATCCTTTGAAAACCTATAAAAACTGCAATAATGACTCCCAGAATGATGGTTACAATCGGGTACAAAACACGACACCATTTTCACGCAGTTAATGTTACGGAGCCAATGATTGTTTAGAACCAGTCGGTTCGTTGTCATGCCACCGTGACGTCATCACTTCGGAGCTCTATATTCCTCCGCTCTACCACAGGCAGTGCGTGTGTGCTGTGCCTGCGGCAGAGTGGAGCGCTATAGTTTTAGAGCTAGCACTTCAGTAGCTCTAGTACTGTAGCCCTGCGCTCCGCGCTGCAGCTAGCACTTGGGCAGATCAACACTGTGGATCACAGTAGAAAAGGCTTCAAAATTGCAATTACTACTTAGGACTAATAACTGGTAATACTAATGCTGAGAGGGTCTATGTCCACCAGGGTACTGCCGGAACGTACTCTGGGTACGGTCCGGTATACCGGAACGTACCCTGGTACTATCTAATATGCCGGACCGTACCTCGCCTATTCCACTAACGAGTCTAGGGAGTCGCCTACGCCTACTCCCTAATCCTAACACTAACCCTAAAGGCTAAACCTAACCATATCAAATAGTTACCAGGGTACGTTCCAGCAGTACCCTGAGGGACATAGACCCTATGAGTATGAGCAATACTAATAGACAGTAATATATTTCACAACGTTGTTTTTAGGACTAACCTATTTTACAAACTACCTTTGCTTTAGGTTATTACTCGTAGTAATATTATAGTAGCCACTACTAGCTACGAGCAGTGAATGCCAGAATAAGCAGATGAATGGCCCAACGCTCGACTTCCTCCTACATTAGCCCGGCGAGACTGTGCGACTGATTGTCTATACAGGTCTTCTAACCCTAGCAAGACCGTTTCTTGGAGCTATACAATACGGTCTTATAACACTAGCAAGACCGTTTCTTGGAGCTACTCCTGATCATGCACTACTGCCACTAGGACTAATTGCCAACAGAATGTTACCAAGTGCTGAAACATGAAGACGCAGGCTTATATAAAACATATTAAATTATTATAGAGGCTCAAAGAGAATGAAGACGAATAATTATCCAATGAATGATGCACTGATGCAATGATGGGACTAGCTCTAGTACTATAGCCCGCGTTCATTAACTGCCGCAGGGCTATAGAACATTTTCAGCTAGATTTCGCTGCTGCTCTTGGTCCCGACTGGTTCCACGAAAAATGGATCGCAAAACGCAAAATGATCAGGCTTTTTAACACTTATTTATCTACATGGACATCTCACCTATCTTTTTGAACACTTTCCACCCGGGAGAAGAGGAGGCGAGCAAGCTGGTGGAGAAGGGAGGTGGTACGAAGCTCGGTGGAGGAGGAGATAGGGAGGAGGGCGGAGAAGGCTGGTGGAGAAAGAGGAGGCCGCGAGAAGCTGGTAAAGAGGGGAAAGCTAC